GAAATACACTTCATTTATTGCATTATAATTATATGAAGTAGCCAAGCCTGCTAGTCATGGCTCCTGTGGCTTTATAAAAAGATGTAAGGGAAGAGGTAAAACACGTGCTCTAAGATATAGTCTGTTTATTTGTCATACCGGAGATTTGAGGAATGATAGACCTCTCCAAGTACAATAAAGGGCTTTGGTGGTGATAACCTCTCCTTCTGGCCTACCCATCTTTCAAACAGCCCCAGAGAGAGGCTGACCAAGAATGCAGTCAGATATCCATTCAATTCCTGGAAATATTCTCCTGGGATGTCTCTCAAGAGACTGATTAACTCAAGTGAGTGTTAACTGAGCCCACATTCAGGTTGGACAGTCAAATTCACATTTTTCCTTACTTTCTCACGGTGTTCGTTTGTATGTGTTAAGAGGCCCACTTTCTCAGTGGCTTATCTAACCCTTGTTTAATGTGAAAATCTCAAAAGAAATAGATCTTCTTTTTAAAATCACTGTTTCTAGTAAAAATTGCAAATCCCAGCTTGGTTCCTGCAGTAAGAAGTCTCTCTGTTGGCCAGCTTGCCGTTCACTTTGATAAATTAAGAGCTGCCAAATGGAAAGGCCAGACAGCCACTGATTGCTGAAATCCTCCTTTGTGGAAACGCCCTCTCACCCCACTCCCAACCTCAGTGGCACTGCATCAGAAAAATAGTGCAACTTTTGCCGAAACAAAAAATCTCCCAGCGCTTTAAGGCCTGCCCAGGTGTCAGGTTAGCTGGACTTCTGGGTACTGCTCTCACCAGCATAATTCACAGTGACAAACTCTTGTCCTCTCCTCCATGCTGGGAAGCTTCTAATTTTTTGTGACTGGAAACATAATCTCCAGGAAAAGCCACAAAAACATTGCTATCTAATTCAGTTATGTACTTGGTCATCATGCTGGTTTGAACAGAGGAGGGTGAAAGAAGAGATGTCATTTGTTGTGCATGGTTTCCAGCTGTCCACTGAAACTAGCCTGGATAACTTTTTTTTTTGAGGTGCTTGCATAATGCAAAGGGTGAGATGAAATACTGTGGAATATTCCTTTTAGGTAACAGAGCCAACAGTGGACAAGGAAATAGAAAAGCTTTCCCTCTCCCATCCCAATAGCTATTATCCGGATACAGGACTTCTTTGCCAAAAGGTTCATGTCTCTTTTATTTACCTTGTTCAGCTTGAAAGGAATCATCCATTTGTTGTCTGTACTTGTATACCACAAAGGTAAAATAATCTGCTTCAATTAAATATTTGCCTTTTTGCTCTGCTTTGGGTTAATTTGCTAAGCCTTGGTAGCAAGGTGATCAATGCCTTGGATGTTTCTAGGACACCTGAGGAGGCGAACTGGAAGTAGCGAGAGCACTCTTTGGGTGTGTAACAGCTCAGCCTATTAAAATGCCGTGGGGCGAACTCATGCAGTTTTTCCGATCCAGATTTAAAGAGGTTTGACTCTTGCCTCCAATGGGTTGCAAAACATCTCACTCTGGGGAGAGGAACTGAGCCTGGAAAATATTGTTAGCAGATGGAGAAGATGTTCGTTGTGGCCTGGGTGCCTATCAAGACTAGCCTTCCTCTCAAGAAGAGATGACTGCAGTTACGAAGCTAATTAACTTTCTGGGTAGGAGAAGCCTACATGAATTTGAACTGCGGGTGTGAACCTTTCTCTAAAACGGCTTATGAAGATGCACAGCGACCTTGAAACGAAAATGTGCCTGGCTAAAAAGACCAATTTCTTCCATCCTTGAGGTTGAATGTTAATGCTTACCTGTGTAAGAACCTAAATATGTAGCATAATGTTTTATTAAGTCCCACTGTGTTTTAAGTACCTTGGCTTCTGCGTTGGAGCCCTTTCCAGGTGTTGGTAAACTCTTTTCATTAGAAAGACATGCCTGGCTCTGAAGAGCAGTGGTGGGTGTGCATCCATGTGTTTCCCCAGTTCAGAGGCAGTTAAGAAGGGACCACGTCACTGGATTGTACCAACCACTTGGTTCTCCTTTACTAACCGGGGAATTTTTTCCCTCTTTTTTCTTAGCCTATCAAATATTTCATGGGCTTGGAGCAGATTTTTCACAGAGAGTTAATTTTGTTGTTTAATGCGTCCACCGCATTCAGCCTCCTGCATCCAAAGACCTTTCAGCATTTATTGCCATTCTTCCTCTCTAAACAGGGTCTGCGCACAAAATCCCTTCGGAACAGCACAACCTGGCTCATCTCAATTCAGGGCCACGCATTTATTCTCACCAAGCCCTGGCTGCTTGTCTTCATTCATTGATGGGATTCGGGTGGGGAAGGTAACATGTATTTATATTGCACTTGAATTCATCTCACACTTTGTTCCTTCAGACCAGTTCCGGGATCTTATTATGAACAAAAGATATTGCTTGTTATAAAGGAGAAGAAAAAATCCATATGTTCGGGCATGATGATTTGTATCCATCTCCGTCCTAATGAGTTGAGTAGTGGAGGCTGTGAAGGAGAGGGAGTGTTTGAAGATGTACTGTGAGGATGATCAATGGACTTGGTAGCCCAAGGTGGCTTGAGAGCAGGAGAATATATAATCATGCAGATGTTACTGTGGAAGATCCAGAAAGAACATGGTGACATTTCCCAAACACCTGCCGTAGATCCAGGTCCCTGCTTTCTCTGCCGACAAGCGTGTCTGGAGTTGGCAAACCAGCCAGGTCCTACAGTCTTCTGAGACTGTGCAGGTGAAGCTTTGGTGTGTAAGAGAAACCCAGACTTCTGCAGTGCTACCCTTGTGCCTGGGGATGCCGTGTCCGTCCTTCCGCTGGATTAAAGATCTGTTTTGCCATTTGGTTCCGGTGTGTTCTAATTTGCACAGGACACCTGTTCCTTAATTAGCACCATCCCTCGCCTGTCTCTTTGTTTCAGCTCGTTCTGATGCATGAGCTAATAACCTCTCTTGAAGGGAGGTTGTTTAGCAGCCTGTGTTTTAAGGAGAGGCTAGCAGAGTATGGAGCTGTAATTTCCAGTTGCAGGAGATTTGGCTTCTGCTTACTAAGTATACCAGAGGTCTCTCACCTGCTTTCCTGTATGTGTCCGTTGCATCTCTCTGGTGATTATTCTCACCTGTCTAACCCTTAAGGGTCGCTTTCTGCTTTGGGGCTGAATGGCAGCCTGTGGAAAGAAGGTTGTGGGAGGAAAAAGGTTTTTATAACCCAAGCTAAAGGGAAAAGTGGAATAAAGTCTCGTTGTAACAATGTTTTTATTCTGTTGTGCTGGAACTGAAGGGTCCTCTCTCTTTTCTTTTTGTCTAAAACTTTGTCAATTATATTTAATATCCTTTGTGCTACTTGAATGCATCTCAACCAAAGGATCTCGGAGCCTTTTGCAGATCAGAGTGTGCATCACACTTCTGTTCTGGTCTTGTTTTGCAAAATGGGAAGCTACAGCGCTGAGGGTGATTGCAGTGGGGCACATGGGAAATTTGACAGAGCTTGGCATGGAACCCATGATTCCAGACTTCTTGCCCTGTTCCTCCACTTACTCTGCTCATCTGAGAAGATTTGCACTGGGAAATGGTTTTGATCACTGCCTCTCTCTCTTGAGAAGCATTTTGAAAAGCCAAACAATTTTCTCAGGTTACATTTGTCTCTAATAGCCGGAATTCTTTAAGCTCCATTACTGCCTTATCAGGGGACCCTGAAGTCATGAAACATCTTTATGACTCTGTTTCCCTAGCCATAAAATGGGGATGCTGCCTTCCATTTGAAAAAGGCTTTGAGATGTGGAGCAATACAAGTGCAAACCGAAATTTGTCATTAGTAATCGTGCCAGGTTGCCATGCCAATAGGTCAAGTGCATGCTGTTGCCTTCTGAGTGTTTTCCTAGATCCTACTATTTGCACCTGTTAATGAATCAGTCCTTAATTATGGCAATTGACAGTCAGTCCCTGCAAGAGCTACTTCCAGAGGTCCCCTTCACTATCGGTCCCTTTTCGCTCCCCGCTTTCCAAAAGACTGCCCCCCGCCCCCGTTAGCATCATGTATTCCACTCTCTGGTCTCGCACAGCTTGATTACGAGCTCTGTGGCATTGAAGTGGGGTAAGAGGGCACAGCTCCTTCACATGCTGTGTCCCTATTGATAGCGTCTTGCGCAGGGAAGGAGTGGTAAGAGGAAGTCTTTTATGCCTAAGAAACTGTTTTTCTTTATTTCTCCTACTGCCATGTGATGGGCAGCTCTAAGATTCAGCAGATTCTGGTAATGCACCATTCCCAAGTTTAATCTTTAGAGCCCCATCTGATCTTTATCTAGCTGTCATTAAGACTTGTGCCAAATAAGGGCAAATTGAAAGTAGATCCGTTGTTGACGGGAACTTGGATTTCGGTATGGCATAGAGCTTTCCTCTGATAGCAAACTCTAGGTGAGGCAAATCCTTGTTTTTTGAAAGGGTTTTCAGCTCCGTGGAGCAGTTGGGGTGGGGGTGGGGGGTTGTGCTGTAACTCTGTGCTACAAATATGTAAAAAGGAAACCGTTGGGCACCGATATACATGGAGCTGGCAAACTGGTCTGTAGGTCCTGTGGCTGTCTGGCCTGGAACCCTTTGAGCCAAGTCCATCACTCTTAATGCAACCAGACTGGTTTCCGCAACAGCTGTCCAAACCTAAATTGAGCCTGTACCTGAACAAAAAGACCATGGTTTAATATTTAATGTTCCACAACGTTATACCCAGAGCTTGAAGTGAAATGTGTAGGTTACAGCAGGGTATAGGGAGAGCAAATGTCTGGGACCTCGGAGATCTTCTGCCTGAGGCATGAAGTCTGACACCCAGGCAAGTTGCTTGACCCCCTTATGTCTCAGCCAGCCCTACTGTAAGACTAAATGAAGAAAAGCTCAGTGACAAACAGATATGCCTGAGCTGAGCTCTCAAGGGGAACACTACTTGACTGGGTTCTGGTTTTACTAGCAGAGTTCTTATTTTTAGTCTAATTATAATAGTTTTTTACCTTCTGTCTTGCAGGCAGCATTTACTCTCCTGCTGGGTCCTTTCACCTTCTTTAATGTGCAGAAGACCAAGTATCTTCAAATCATGACGTCCTTGATGAGGTGGATAGGTGAGTCCTGTGAGGTTCAGGTGTCTTAACAAGCCCCTACCCCTTTCACGGTGGACACTGAATCACGGCTGGAGCCTCTTGGAAATTTTCTGGCATAGTTTGCCAGGAAAGGGCTCTTTGCTGAAAGCAAAACTTTTGTGGGCATGAACAAGTATTGATGAAACGTTGATCAGGAAAGGGTTTTCAGCTCCAAGGTAGGATCTCTGGTCAACACTGAGGGAAAGGGAATAGAGAGAGAGCGATACCCCAGGACAGCCCCAAGTATGGTGGTTAGGGCAGTCCTCTGAGTTGCAGGAGATGGCAGAACTGGGATTTGAACATGGGTTTGCCACCTCAAGGACAAGAGCTCTACCCATCAGGGGCCCTGCTATCCTGGAATCTCTCTTTGTTCTTACATGAACATTTGTTCTCACAAGAACAGGAAGGTTTTCTAAGTTGCACAAGACTTTGTGGAATGGAAACACTTGTTTTCAAGCCAGCTCTTCTCATAGGAATTGTATGTGTTGGAGTATCTGTTTGATGGCTTGGCCATCCAGCTCCCTCAAAATACTGAATGAACTATAAATCTGTAGCCTGTGTACTTTTTTTTTTTTAACCCTGTTTTTATGATCTGGATAGTGATTTCAAATACCCGTTTCAAAATATTTTCTCACTGCTCTATGGTATGCAGAGTCTGAAACTTCTACACTGACACAACTGTCTTTGCCTTCTTCCCCCGGCCCTGTTTTTCAAGATATCGTGCTAAGAATGAAAGTTGCCATAAAGGCTTTTTTTATTGATGGTGGTGAGGGAGCATTTATACAGTGTTACCTTGTGACCAGAAAATAAAGCATATGGATTGACTATCCCATTCACGAACAGAGTGTCATCTCTCTTGGATTTTCTAGTGGTAAAATGTCCAGGTGGGGATACCTTAAAGATATTTCTCACCAATTAAAGCTAATGGATTGTGGGGGGTGTGGTGGCTGCATCTTCATCATTCTTCCTGTCCTCTCAAAAGACAATAGAGCTTCTCTAGCATTAGGTTAACTTCTTTGGGATCCAGATCTTAGGAATAAGTTTGACAAATCCTTTCAGACAGAATGGAGTTGTGATTTATACTTGGGGAAAGGACAACTACTTGGCCACTTGTTGTATTGATACGCACATTTAATAGAGAATCTACTCTGAATCTTGTGGTTCAAAGACCAAATTCCAGGATTACCTGGGCCACGTGTGTGCATGCGTTTTTAAGGTGCAAGTCCACAACTTCTTTAGTCCATGTTTACACCAAAGTGTTCATCTCCATCCATCCCAGCCTGAAACCTAAACTGGCTAATAAATACTTGCCATTAGCCAATGGCAGGAAGGAAAACTGACTTTTTTCTTTTTTCAGTTCTTGATGTTTTTTCACTTGCTCAGGGCTTACACAGGGCTGACACCCTGTTCCTGTTACCCAAGTTCAGTCCCGTGACCCTGCTCTAAAACTGCCAGCAGTCCTCCAGAGAGTAGAGAAGATCCTGTGGCTGAGAATCTCTCCTGTGAGGTTAAGCAGCAGCTTTGGCTGGGGAAATGAGGTCCCTTCAGTGGATGTGAGTGTCTTTAAGCTTCAGTGTCTTGGAAGTTGAGCAGTTTGAGGTAATGAAGGCTGACCCGCTATGCTGTGAAAATCCTGAATGTCAGCTTGTCCGCTTTGTCTCAGCACATGAAAGGTTGGACTGGCGCATGCACTGCAGAGATAGGGGTGGTCTCATTTAGGGGGTATTAAAGGAAGCAAAAAAAAAAAAAAAGCAATCCCCTTCTCAGCTCACTGGCCCAGTTCTGATCACCTGGGCTCCTCTCTCTGCAGATGCATCAGTCAGACCTCATCCCGTCTCTGTGACAACCTGACACCTGTCTGGCCCACCATTGGTCTGTCCCTAGCCAGCTGCCTCCAAAATGAAGAGGATGCTCATTAAGCCTTAGCACCAAGGCAGAACCTTGCTTCTGTTTTTCTTCCCTGTCACAGGGAGGACAGGAGCAGCATTTGGAGAGGTGTAGGGGAAACTCATGCTTTAGCCTGATTGATTCCCACATCAGGCCGTTGGGGAACAGCTGCCCCAGATAATGATAGTTAATGGTCCCAGCAGGACCTCAGTGGCTACTTAGCTCAATGGATTCTGTATGGGTACAATGAATGATAGATTTATTAGGAGCGGAGACTTAAAGGCAAGGCAGATGTTACAGTAAATAAAGAGTAAATCTCCTGCTGCAGCCTTTGGGGCAAGGAAGATCCTGAGTTTAATTTGGCTTTGAGTCAATATGGTTTTTTTTCCCCTTCCCACCATGATTTTAGGGACAGGCCAGTGCCGTCAGCTAGGTTAGGGTTTGGATTTGCCTTGCACCTGAGGCAGGGGTCTGTAAATGTGTAACTGATTCTGTCACACAGCTTGCTGGCAGGATGAGCCCCCCCATGCTTAGTCTGGATTTTTTGTTATCTGATCTGGTTCTGCTTGAGTATGAAGGTCAGATGCAGCACCGTCCTCCTCTGGCAGCCAGGGCTGCCTTTCCACACTGGTTAGAGCAGAATAGTGCTTTAAGTTTTTCTTGAGCCTGTCCAGAACATCAGAGCCAAACTTTTCAAGTGTGCCAGGCTGGCTGATCCCAACTAGTTTGCCTGCAACAAAGGGAACACGTATAGTTTTCTTTGCCCAGAGGGTGTTGTGTATTCTGGATATCCCCTTCCTCATGGGGGGGGCTTATTTTTTCAGCTTTGATGGGCATGAATTGGCACTTGCGTGTTCTTTGCACTCTGATTTGGAAAGCAGAAGCTCTCTCGTCTGTCCTTGGAAATTAATATCAGTCCCTTTCCCCAACTCAATGAAAAGCCCCTGGATTCCCCAGCTGCAGTGGCTGACGTCAGCATGCACTGCCCCAGGTATATTGAAGTTTAAGATGACGGGGGCAGAGAGGATGGTTTTTGGCAGCAGAGCGAGTGAGCTGCTTGTGAAGGTCATTTCTGCTCCTGTTTGTAATGGTGTCAGACTTGCCTTTGAAAGTTGTTTTCCCTCTTTCTCCTCCTGATCTAAGTGATAATCAAATGTCACCGGCCTCTTTGTAGAACCTGATGCTCTTCAGAAGCGACATGCAGTTAACAAAGCCTACAGTAGTCATTTTTCTCTATGAGATGTAAAGACTTCATCTTTCAATGAAAAATAAGCTACCTCAAGAACACTGGAACCCGCGTCAGAAAGAAAAATGGGTCCAGCTAGGGGAATTCAGAGCAAGAGCCATGGCTGGGCCTTGGCTGCTGCTCTCCGGGCTGCCTCAACAGCATTATTTTTCACTTTTGGGTTTTGTGGAAGCTTTTGATGCACTGCGGAGGCAGGTGCTTTCTGGGGCATCTTAGGCCAGTGGAGCAGGGGGGAGATTGCTTGAAAGTACCAGATAACATCAGAGATCCTAAGCAGATGGGGTTTTGTTCACTGGGCTTGTGAGCACAAGGTGCTCATCTGGAAACAAAGGCTGGCATAAAGAGGTACTCTTTCTGTCAAAAGGGATAAGGACATGGTGGGCATAAGTACATTTCAGGTAGAATAGACCAGATTAATAAAGGCTCTGGGTACATAGAGACCTGAAGCTGCATAAGCACTCTTTCAGAGCCATGTTTTAAATACAGCTCCTACAACAAAACCCTGTTTAACATCCCTTTGTATGTCTTAATGATGTGAATATTTCTACCAGCACATCTAGGCTCCAAACAGGTTTGTGAGACACTGGACTAAAAAAGATTCACCTTTGCTCAGCTAGTGTTGCTACTGTTGCTGGTACCAGAGAGCCATGGATACTAAACTAACTCTGGGAGAAATTTGGAATATGCTGAGTTATCAGTACAGCCTAATAGACCAGTAGGGAGCTCGTAGGCTATGAGATGGCTGTCCGAAGCATGCCCTAGCAGAAGAAAGCCTGGTTATGGTACCAATACCATTGTAGTATAATAGGCATCTTCTGACAGTAAGAATCACTTCTATTCCATAATTAGTGAATAGTGTGTTTATGATCTGGGTCTTGAACTGGGCTAGATTTAATGCATTCTTCCCAGAGTTAAGTTGCAGAAAAACTTGCGTGCTGTCAAAAACAGACTCTCTTGTAACGTGCTTGGGCCAGAAGCTGCTTTAAACCTGGTTACTTTTATAGAATGTAACTGGGGCCCCAGCTTTACTAGCTGCACTGTGTAAAAGATGTTGTTAGTAGGGTACTGATGCGAGCTCTCAGCTGCTCGGGCAAGGGTTCTTTTCGGACAGTGCTGCTGCTGTGTCCTTTCTCCCTCCAGGAAAAGGCGAATGGTCTTAAAACTGTTAGAGTATCCAGGATGAGACTGTTCCCTAATTTGGTTAAAACACTGTTCGTTTGAGCTTTGAATGCAGCTGGGCTAGTCTGGTTCTTAGAAAAATACCACTTTTATTATCTCAATCAAGGAAATCACTCAAAGTGGATTGATAGAGCTACTCTCAGCTTTGCAGATGCAAAGAGATGCTCTGTTTGCGTGGCTTGTCACTCAGACTCGTCTGTGCTGATTAGGGATTTTGCAGCAGTGAGATCAGGCCTGTCTTCCAGACTCAGAAATATTGCTTCATCCATCAGACTTTGGTCAAGTCAGATACCTCTTCCTGTGTTTCTAAAGCTGACCCATTCACCTCCCTGAACTCGGGTGCAGTCGGTAGTGGGTATTCACAGCCGTGTTGCATGATCAGCCTTTCACTTCTGTTGCTCTTCACAGGCGCAGTCATTCCCTGTCCCCTCTCCATGGCAGCATCCACTGTGACCTTCTCAGTACTTGGCGTGGCTTTGTCAGGCTATCCCAGCACATAGTTCAAAATCTCCAGGGCCCATGAAGTAGGAAAAACCCTGTAGACAGGCAAGCAGTTGCAGGTATTGCTCAAGCAGGAACCCTGGAGCATTTAACTGCACAGCACTGCTCTTGATTTGTTTTCATAGATTCATAGATTTAGGGTCGGAAGGGACCTAGTAGATCTTCTAGC